CAGGGAGCTCTAGTGGCCTAGTGGCTAAGAAATTGTGCTGCCAACTCAGAGTCAAGCAGTTCAAAGCCATCAGCTACTTCTTGGGAGAAAATGGTCAGTTTATAGCCTCTGAAAACCTGCTAAAGGTCAGCAATGAGTCTGTTCTAACTTAACAGCACATAACTCTAGCAGCATATTTTTAAAGAGATACATGTTTTCCATAATCTAACAGTAAATATTAATTCATTGGTGCCCGAGATGGAAGGGTATGAGTTAAGAAAAATGTTTTACTTTCGGCCTCAAATGTAGTCCATACTTAAAGAATCTATTTTCTTAGTAACTGGGTAAAACTTGAAGGCAAAGCATGAAGTTCCAAAATATACTCAGAAGAATATTTAGAAAATGCAATTTGAGCTTACATCTGTAGTGAGTAGTCACAGACATTTGCTTAGGACCAAAAAAATTGTGCATTTTCCCTCCCTCAGGCTTTCTTTCTGTTTGTGATTCTAGTATGTAGCCAATATGGAATTAGATATGTAATCCTTTTTATCACCAGTAAGGAGTTCACTGCAGGTATAGCTTCTTTAAGGCCATCTCTTTGTTTTGATAAAATTAGTAACCTTATGCCCACTTAAAAAAAAAAAAGATTAGGGAGGAGAAGCATCCACAGGGCAGGCTAGGTGGTTAAAGGGATCAATTGCAGGAGAAAATACTGACGTCGAAGGCATGGCTTCTGGATAGTGACACTCACTAGGTGCCTTGAAAGAAACCTGTCTCCAGCATTGCCATCTTCACCCCTTTCTCTTTGGAGGATCATGTGGATGGAGCCTACAGATAGAAAGGGTGGTTTTTATATCACTGTTCCATTGTGCTTATCTCTTGGTGATACAGGAGATACAAGAGCTATTTTAGTTAGGAATTTTCCTTCACTTGTAAAGGCTCTCTTGTTGGCTGCCATTCAGTTGATTCCAACCCATTTCAACCCCCCTCCACTCCTTAGAGTTTTCATGCCTGGGTCCTTGCAGAAGCTCATCATCAAGTTCATACCATCAGCCTTTCAACCAGTAGTCTAGTGCTGAGCCATTGATGGGTAACACAAATGGCTTTCATTTTCTTCTTTAAAAGGAGCTGTCAGACTTGCTCACCCTATAAACTTAGCATATGGTTTGATACAGAAGCACTACACAGCAGCAAATATTTATTGACTTAAAATGATAAGGTTGCTTTAGAGCCCTGAAGCTGCAGGATGTGGGAGTCCTATCAGAAAGTTTATGTAAACAGTGAAGATAAGGGTTTTTCTTGTGTACAGGGATTGTCTGCAGTCCATCCTTGAATGTGCAGTTAGTCATGGAGAATAGGCCAGTTGTCCCTCCCTTCCCCGCCTTTTAAAACTCTAATCCACATGCTGAGAGGGGATCAGTATTTCTCTCCGGCTGCTGACCACCTGTTTCAATTTTGTTGCTGCTTCTTTGTCTTTGATTTTGACAGCTGTCTCTTCAGAAGTGTAAGGGTCGGTAGACTAGAAAAAGAAAGTGGGTCAATTTTGAAGCCTTTCTTGTGCAAATGTTGTTGTTCAATGCCCTTTAAGTTATCTTCAACTCATAACAACTTCATGTGACAGAGTAGAACTATCCTGTATGATTTTCTAGGCTGTGATCTTTTTAGACGAGAGGAGCCCTGTTACTAGCACAGTGATAACCAAACAATCAGGGGTTCAAACCCACCAGCCGCTTCCCCAGAGAAGAGACCTCATAATCTGCTCTCATAAATATTTTAACTTAGAAAACACTAGGGGCAGTGCTGCTCTGTTCTGTGGGTTCATTATGAGTCAGAATTGACCTAGTGACACAACAATATTTATGGAGCAGATCACCTGGTCTTTGTAGTGGAGAGCTCTGGATGAGTTCAAACCACCAACCATATGGTTGGTATCTCATGAGCTACCAGGCCTTTCTTTAATTTTTTTTTAAATTTTGCACTGGTGTGCATACAAAGTGCATGTATGTTGTGACCGGTCCTTGGAGAGGGACATCATGCTTGGGAGGGTAGAGGGACGGCGCAGGAGAGGAAGGCCCTCTATGAGGTGGATTGATTCAGTGACTGGGATAATTGGGGTGGGAGTATCAGAGACAGTGCGATTGGCGCAGGACAGAGCGGAGTTTAGGGCTGTTGTACATAGGGTCGCTATGAGTCGCAGGCGACTTGACGGCACATAACAACAACAACAACACCACATTGTGTTTCATAGTCATTCTTACTCATCATATTTTATAAAATCAATCACCACTAAACCATGTCCTGTCTTTCCAGATCCCTGCTGAATCTTTCCAATTTCCTTTATCCCTCCCCCTGACCCAATCATCAGATTGTACAGCCCTATGTTTCTCCCCTGCCCACCCTTATCCCTCTGTTCCCACCTTAGATCCTTATACACGTTTTACTACTTGTCCTTATGAGACTGAGTTAGTTCACTTGGCATAATGCCCTCCAGTTTCTTCCAAGTTATGTAGTGATTTTTTAAAATCATTGCTCCTGAGTGCTGCATAATATTCCATCATGTGAACATACCCAGGCCTTTTTAAAGATTGTACTTAATAAATTTGTGTATAGTTTTAATTAGAAAACAAGTTGAGGAGACATTTTCACATACGCAGTAATTAAATTGAGGGGGTTTTGTAGTGACATGCCTAAAGTATTTCAGCGTGGAACTTCTTTCATGTGAGCATACCTTCTTAATAGTTTCATTTTCTGGTAACAGGCCCTTTTGTGGAATGCAGAGACTAGTGGTACATCAACCAAGATTAAATGTACCAAATGGTGATCTATAAGGCTTTTTCATATTATGATACTGGTTTTGTGAGAATCTAAACTTCAGTCCTCAGATAACTATTGTAAAACACGTTATTTTTGTGATTATTTCTTTGCCTCAGTGGGGGCCCTTCTCGGTTTAACAGTATGTCAGGAATACTTTAAAGACTAGCAGATGTTTGGGTTAATAAAAACCATGTTTATCTTTCTTGCAGTGCTGTTATGTACTCTTTCTGCAATTTCTGTATAGGGGCTTTGAATACAGATAAAAATCAGTGTTTGGCAGGATTTTATGTTTTTAAACCTTAATGCTGTAAAAGGCAAACAAAAAAAAAGCCATTGAATTGAAACAAACATTTCTTAGTTAAAGAAAGATTCATGGATCTCTTCCTCCTAACATTTTGAAATTCTCACCATCACGCCTCTTTATAAAACAAAGATTGGGATATAATCACCAGTTGTATACACTTGTGCATGCATTTATGATGCTTTCTGCTGTGTGTCCACTTTAAGATTGGTCCCAGAATTTAAATTATAGGGAGCTGCTAATTGATAGAAGTTGTTATTGTTGTTGTTGTTGTTATGTGCCAGCAAATTGGAACTGATGTTTAGCCAACGCTCCAGTGAGTTTTCAGAGACAATAAATCACACAGGACGAAATTGCTCATCTTTCCTTTGCACAGCAGCAGGATTCAAACCGCATGCCTTCGGGTTTGCACAGCTCCTTACTTCTAGGCTGCTAGAGCTCCCTATGACAGGAGTTAGACGGTGTTAAATTTCATACCAATTGCCACTGAGTCAGTTCCAACTCCTGACAACCTCACATGTGTGTCACTAGACTGTATTCCCTAAGGTTTTCAGTGGCTGAGTTGTTGAAAGGAGATTGCAAAGCCTTCTGATCCTGCAAACCCTCTCTGGGTGGACGTAGAGATACAGGGGTAAAGATTAGTCCTGTAAAAGACAAAGGTCCAACGTGAAAGAGGAGGAGCAGACGGCCTTCAGGACACAGGGAGAGCAATAAAACACAGGCATGGGTGGGTTTAGTTTTCCAGGAAGAGGCATGTTTACTGGGGCATACTGGTTGGAGGAATGATCAGGGATGGGACTGGGCAGCCGAGGCCTGATTACAGAGAACCTCGGGTTTCATGCTAACAGTGTGGGAGTCATGGGAAAGATTTTTGAGCAGAACACATGACAAGTTATGCTAGGAGCGAGCAGCGCGGGAGACAGATTAGCATAGAGTCTGGGGGAAGAGCAATCCTCTCCAAGGCGACTGTCAGCTCGTTGACAACCGAGCTGCCACTGCAGGTAGGACGGAGGAGGTTAAAAAATGGAAAGAACGGAACTGGATTTACAAGGTTTTCAGAAACATGAAATAGGTGGAAATGGGATTGAGAGTCAGCAGTGAATCCACAAGGGGGAAAACAGCATCTGTACTTGCTGGGAGAAAAAGTAGTGTTTGAGAAGGAAGAGAATGGGTTCAGTTTAGAATGAGGCACCCAAGAACCAGCCAAGTGGACACCCCAGCACAAACCCTTAGAGTCAGATATGCCTCTACAGGGAGAAGTTGGAGCTGAAATTGGAGGTTTAAAGGTCATTTGAATAAAGTTGAGGATCTGTCTTTTTCAGAATTACTAAAGCCTATTTCAAAATCTACACGAGCATAAAAAGTATTACTATTAAGCTGCTTTCTTGTAAAAAATTAATAATGCCAAAACTTGCTTGTAATTATTTTAAAATATGTGCCTTGTATTTTACTAATCTTGTTTTAATAAGATCTGTTTTGTTTGGATTAAGATGCCATGAGTGAATACAGTCTATTTATCATGTTTAGATCAAATACTGAAATATATAATATATATTCCAGAGACTTATGTTGCCCCTTTCTCTTCTAATAATGGGCTCGCTACTAATGGGCACTTTCAGGTGACCTTTTCATTCTTGACCAATTAGCATATTTTTACTGGTTGCACATTAAGAAGCTATTTCTATGTTGGGTATTTTAGATAAATCAAATCCTGTTGGAATTAACTTGTGGGTCAGATGTTTGAGATAAGTACTTGGTAACCAAAGTAACACAAGTGGATGGCTTCAAAGGACCAGGGTAACTTTTTTAAATTGCTCTGCTTTTTCTATTTAAAAGCAAGCATCAGGTGGGTTGAGATCTGAAGGAAGCCCCCCATTCTGACCTCAGCCTGGTATTTTGGTTCCAGGCACATCTTTTTCTTGCACATCAAGGAGGCCCTTCTGGCGGGCCACCTCCAGTGTTCCCCGGAGCAGGCGGTGGAGCTCAATGCCCTCCTGGCCCAGACCAAGTTTGGAGACTACAACCAGAACACTGCCAAGTACAACTACGAGGAGCTGTGTGCCAAGGAGCTCTCCAGCGCCGCCTTGAACAGGTGAGGCTGCAGGGGGCTAGGGCTTGTCACCCTGGATCTCTCAAGTTTATAAAAATTCCAGGAGAAAATGAGCCTGTAGCATGCACAGATAATCTGTGAAGTCTAGAACAGGCCATTGAAGAATTTTACCAGCCATTTTCAAATTTTCGTTCAAGAAACTCAAAATGGAATTCACACAACTGAAAGCTTTTATATGAAATACTGTATAACTGGTATAAATGCACACGTGTGTGCACGCACACAGACACAAACACCACACACACGACTTTTGGAGAAAATAAATCCTAGTGGCAAGAAACTGTGCTGCAGTCCTGAAGGCATGCCATTCAAATCCACCAGCTGCTCCACAGGAGAAAGACGGGCAGTTTCCTCTTGTGCGATTAACTGCCTCTGAAAACCTGCCAGAGCATCAGATATGGGCCATTTGTGACTTGATGGTACACAACAACAGCATCACGTATATTGTTATGCTTTCTTCATACTCTTGTTGTGTACCATCAAGTTGGAACTGATCCATAGCAGACTGTCTGGTGGGTTTTCAGAGGCAGCAAATTGCACAAAAGAAAATTGCCCATCTTTCTCCAGCAGAACAGCTAGTGGATTCCTTAGTGAACCTTTGAGTGGCAGTGTAGTTCCGTACCACTAAATAACCAAAGTTCGCTATACCTTCAGGTATCGGTGTAAATGTAAGTATCCTTTTGTCTTTTCTTACTGGCATGAATTAAACCAAGAAGATAATATGAGCGTATTAGTTAACCATTCTTGCATAGCAACTTAACCAGAATTTAGTGGCTTCAAACCACAAACATTATCACCCAGCTCTGTAGGTCAGGAATGTGGGGAAAGTTAGGTGGTGCACGGCTCAAGATTTCTCATTGAGAGTCCAGCCGCACTATTGGTGGACTTCCCATCTCACCTGACGGATCAGCTAAGGAGAAATTCACCTTCAGATTTGCTGACTGACCCTGTGATCTGACTGCATGGGCCTTTCCTCAGAATTATGACATGGAAGCTGGCTTTCCCCAGAGAGAACAGTCTGAGCAAAAGCAAACATTCAAGATGCAAGTCATAGGCTTTTCATAACCTAATTTCAGCAGTGACATGCCATCATTTCTTGCACTTTCTAGTCATTAAAAGCGAACCTACAGTTATGGGAATGTAATACACCTACTATCTGACATTTCTCATGTATGGCAGTAGTAACTATCTACTGTCTGACTGATTTGTACATTAATAAAGTGAGTCTGGCAGTAACCAGTGGGGTATAAGACAAGAATAACATTGGCTGGGATGGTTAAGATTTATGTGTCAGTTTGGCTGGACCTTGAGTATCAATGATTTGGCATTTATGTCATGAGAAAATCATCCTCTTTTTTGTGATATGATGTGGTCATCCTCCATTTTCACATACCACAGATCTTTAGTGAATGACTTTATCTTTGGATAACTATGGAACAAGTGATCATTGAGGACCATGTTAAAGGCTGTCCACTGCGATTAATAACAGAATAAATCCTGTATTGTTTTTCCATTGCAATCAAGTAAATCCCATATAATACTGTTATTGTTGTTGCTGCCATCGAGTTGAAATCAACTCGTAACGAACCCTCCAGCAGGTTTTTAGAAGATGTAAATGACACAGACATACACTGACCATCTTTATCCCCTATAACACTGTATTACATTACACAATGCATGTGAAGTTCCAAGGTAAATTTGTCCTGTGTAAATTTTTTTGTATTTTCCATAATTCCTCCAATTATTTCTGGCCCAATACTCCAAAAAGTCTTTTTCTGCTGACTATTTAATAAGTAACATTCTGACTGATGTCTTAGAATTATTGTAGAATATTTTTGTAACTAATAGGCAACTGTCAGTGTAATTTGCTCATTAAAATTACACATAATTTTCCTAAAACCACACAGTCTTTTCTCAAACAACTTCACAAGCTAATACCTCTGAGTGACTTTCCACCCTTTTGGTGTCCTGCAGCATTATTGCAAAGCATAAAGAGCTAGAGGGGACCAGCCAGGCATCTGCAGAATACCAGGTTTTGCAGATTGTGTCAGCCATGGAGAATTATGGCATCGAGTGGCATTCAGTACGGGACAGCGAGGGACAGAGACTGCTTATTGGTGTTGGACCCGAAGGAATCTCTATCTGCAAAGATGACTTCAGCCCAATTAATAGGTAACCCAAGCCTTCATTTTATCCCTCCAGTCTTATTATGTGTATCCTTCTAAAGCATTGATCAGGAAAATAGGAAGTGGAGAAGGATTTAAATATAGTTTTCCTTAAGGAAGACTATATTTCATTTTGCAGGTACATTAATTTTTCCAACTTTGATAGCCCTTTAACGGCTTTAAAAATAATTATTATAAATATTCACTTAAAAATCATGATTATAAATAAGTATTAACTGATAAGTTAATATGAAAATGACTTTTCAGATAAGTCATTTACTGCCATACAAACTTCATTTTCACCTATGAACCAAGCACACACACACAAAACTTGCTCCAGCACATCTTTCTGTTTATACACAACTGTTTACAAGGTATGTTTATAATCTAAGGGGTGCAGACAGTTAAAGCACTCAGATATTAATAGAAAGGTTGATGGATCAAGTCAACCCAGAGCCTCTTTGGAAGAAAGGCCTAGAAGTCCACTTCCAAAATGTCAGCCACTGAAAGCCCAGTGACTAAGTGGTCTATTGTGACTTCCAGGGTCATCACAAGTCAGAGCTGATTGGACAATAATTGCCCTGGTTGTCATCCAGGGAGCGTAGTGGCCAGATGGTCTCCCTTGATGCAGTGTGTGATTTTACTGTTGAGTCACTAGCAAATGAGCTGCCTGTTACAGGACCCCTACCTCTAGTCAGACCTCCAGACTCACACCAGTTTTCTCCCTACCTTTTAGGATCGCATACCCAGTGGTACAGATGGCCACCCAGTCAGGAAAGAACGTGTACTTGACCGTCACAAAGGAGTCTGGAAACAGCATCGTGCTCTTGTTTAAGATGATCAGCACCAGGGCAGCCAGCGGGCTTTACCGAGCCGTCACCGAAACACACGCCTTCTACAGGTACGTGCCCCAAGCACCCAGTCCTGAGATTTCCAGGGAACAGCGTAGTTCATATCTTTTTTTGGGTCCACTTACATGAGTCTTTCATAGAATTTAAGAGCTTTACTTTCAGACATTTGTTCTCACAGTGGAGTCCTTATCAGCACAGTCCTGCCTTCCCCAGAAAACTCACACGTATGCATTGCAGAGGTTTTCCTGCTCACCTCCTGTACCTCTCCTCATCATTTTCTGTCTCCAAAGTGACCCTGTGTGGCTGGGCCCATGCCACCGCTGTTTTTCCCATTTGTATACAGGAAGCTCACAGGAGCCATCATTCTCCAAGAAAGCTCCCCTCCTTACTCCTGTTTCATCAGGGTTTTTTTTTAAATAACAATATAGATACTCTCCTTTCAGCCAGGGGTGCTTTGAAGTAGAGTTGTAATTGGGCTCAAATATTTGGAAACTGAAAGCTGAGGCATTTAATTGGGAGGCAGCCTTAACCATTCTTATTTTGAAATAGACACAGATTGTGGAGCAGAATGGAAAACGTGTAGAAATGTTTAAGATAAAAGACTAGACTTCAAAGAAAACTCTCCTTTGCTCTGTAGCTCATCTGCATCCCTAGAGAAGCAGGTAGCTTTTCGCTACTGCTTTATCAGAGGCACTTGGGAAATGCTCAGAAACTATCAGAGTAGAATCGTTGGATGTTTAACACATAAATCTGGAAGGACTTCCTTTCAAGCACACAGACAAGAAAATCAGATGCCTGCTGACACAAGCATCCCTTTCACAACGGTGTTTTTATGCCTAATAGAGACAGGTATCTCCTCTCCCCCAATAGGTGTGACACGGTCACCAGTGCTGTCATGATGCAGTACAGCCGAGACCTGAAGGGCCACTTGGCATCCTTGTTTCTGAATGAAAATATCAACCTCGGCAAGAAGTATGTCTTTGATATCAAGAGAACGTCCAAGGAAGTCTATGACCACGCCCGGCGGGCACTGTATAATGCTGGTGTGCTAGACCTGGTTTCTAGAAGCGACCCCAGCCCTCCAGGGTCCCCCCTGAAGTCCTCAGACAGCAACCTGAACTGCAACAGCTGTGAGGGGCTCAGCTGCCAGCAGACCCGCGCCCTGCAGGAGAAGCTGCGCAAGCTGAAGGAGGCCATGCTGTGCATGGTGTGCTGTGCCCAGGAGATCAACTCCACTTTCTGCCCCTGCGGCCACACTGTGTGCTGCGAGAGCTGCGCCTCCCAGCTCCAGGTGAGTGGGCCCCCGGGCCGGCTGGCCCTTGGCTATTACACATGTGTCAGGCATGCAGCTCACTCAGATTACAGTTGAGCATCCTCTGTCTACACTTGAGACGAGTCACTGTGTTCAGTGTCTTTCAAGGTGTTGCCCTTGGAAGCATTTTATATTAGCATGCATTTTTAGGAGGGGCCCTTCCTTGGAAAAAGACTTGTTTTGGAAAGATGGAGGGTAAGTGAAAGAGAAGAACACCCTCAACACAGTGCAAGATGGGTCAGCACAGTGACTGTACCAATGGCCTTGAGCACATCAGAGATGGAGAGACAGGCCTGGGCTGCAGGCAAGATTCAGGTCCGTAGTTTAGAGGGTTGTAAGTCACAGTCGACTCAGGGGCACCTAACAACACAATGGCTATTTTCAAAAGTAGAATTTCTCTGAATCATATTTGCTCTAAGATCTGGGAAATCTCACAGTACAGTTGGGGAAATGAGGTGTGTGAACCAGAGTTCAGGGCACCCTCTTCCGCTTTGTGTCACATCCTCTGACTTGACCCTTTGGAAGATGGTCTCATTTACTTAAAGCACTTGAGAAGGCAGACTTAGATTTGGGACCTGTTGTTAAGTCGCTTCGCCAAGGGTGGGTTGTTTATTCTGTGGTGATTATGACTAATTTCCTTCCATTACTGCATATGCCTCTAGCTGCCTCTTGATTTGGCAAGTCAAACTAATTGTAATGATATTTTAAATGCAACAAACACATAAAATAAAACAAAAGCAGCTTACTATAATAACTTCTCCTTTCTTATACCTTACCTTCCCATTTACTATAATTTTTTTTTTTTCATTTTTATCTCCATTTCTTGGAAGTGTTTGCCAGATGTTACTCTGGATTTATGTAAAACCAGCCGTAAATAGCACCTTTTCCTTTCCCAAAACACACAGCAAGAATCAAGTTGATTCTCATTCACAGCAACCCTGTAGGATAGAGTAGAAATTACCCAGAGAGTCTCCAAGGCTATAAATCTTCTCTGAAGCAGACTGCCTCGTCTTTCTCCTGTGGAGCAGCTGCTGTTCTGAACCACCAACCTTTTAATTAGCAGTCACAGTCTTTAATCCCTGTGTCCCCAGGGCTCCTGATGCTACTAATAGTACTTTAGAAGCTACTAAGAGTGGAACTATTTTTCAGGCTTCACAGTGGGTCAGCAGGATTCCTACGCTCTACCAAGGGTCAGATATTTTGCTGGGATGAGTTACTGCCTCTGGAGCAATTATGGATCTCTCCTTCTCTCACCATGTATGACTCAGGCTCATCTTATGGCTCACAAGGGGACCCATGATTGCTGAAAAGCCAGCTAGGAATGTAGACCTCTTATTTGTGACCAGGGACAGAGCCACATTTGCTGGCTGTGCATGGCATGTAATAGCCTGCATCTGTTAACTGAGGCAGGCACACACCCTCAGGAAGGATTTCTTAGGTCACTGCCTCAGATGTGGTCATCTGTTGACAAAAGAGGAACACAACCTGCAGAGGAAAACGGATCCAGTAGTGGCTTTTCTCACACTGCTTAACCAAAACCCCAATTTTCATCCATTTATTCTTTTCACTCTTTATACTTAGTCCTTTATAAAGCATATGCATTCAGTGCTATTAGAAAACACTTCTGAATTAATCCCAAGCAACCTTATTCAGAAAGCTGATTATATAATGTGGAAGCAGTACTGGTGGGATCAAGATTAAGGCGTTCGGCTTCTAACTAAAAGGTGTGGGGTTCGAACCCCCTGACCACATGTTAGGAGTCTGCTGCCATGCAGATTTACAGTCTTGGAAATCCTCTGGGGGAGTTCTCTTCAGCCTTTAGGGTTGCCAAGCTTGGGACTTAACTCTGTGGCATTCAGGTTTTATCTCCTGGAATGTAATATGGACCAGGGGTGAACACTGAGGTCACAGGGGCAAGATGGTATTCTAACAGGCACTGTGACTTTTTTTTTCAGTCCTGCCCAGTCTGCAGATCCCGAGTGGAACATGTTCAGCACGTCTATCTTCCAACCCACACTAGTCTTCTCAACCTAACCATAATCTGATCGGCTGTGCATTTAACTGACGTGCCACATTGCCATGAACTACACTGTTACGAACTCTAAAAATAATGGATTGTGAAGAAAAGGACTGTTTCAACATCCATTTGCCATATGAAGTTTAAAGTAAAAAAACAAACCAACAACCACAGCCACTCCTCACTGCAATAACATCTCCATGCTTAGAAGCAGTCACTCCCCTGGTGGTGACAAGGAATCCCTCCGGGACATCGACACATTCCTAGGACTTTTTTTTCCTTTCTATTCTGGTCAAGTACGTAGAGGAGTAGGTAAAATGCACTCTGATACCAGTCAAATGGCACCGCAGCCAAAACCTGAGCACCCTTGAGAAAGTTCTGTTGTAAATCTGCTTAGTATGTCCTGAGGTAAGTTTCCTATCTGCAGCAAATTTTCTAAGGGTTCATTTTAAGAATTTACTGGGTTTTTTGGTATGTTCATGGATCTCTGAACATTTTCTAATAGGAATAGTCACTGTTTTTACGTCACTTCTGGTTTTATGTCTCGTTCAAGAATGACTAGGAGGTGCACTGATGTAGAAACCAGTTTCAGGACTTAGGGAGCGGACGGCAGAGTGGTCAAGTCTCAGTCACTCTGACCCAGAAGGAGACAGATGACTTGTGAGTGGCTTCCTCTGCCTCTCGCCTCCCCATCACCCTCTGCCATATTTTCATTGTAAACTACCAGTCTGTTTCTGAGATTGCCGTGGAGTAGTCAAACACTCCTAGGAACTCTCGATTTGGTGGAAGAGCTTGTGTTACAATTAGAGCGAGAGAGCATATTCTCTCTCTGGGCAGTGAAGCTTCATGATGTACAAAGCATGGTGGTTCGCTAGTTCTCCCAGGCTCACCTGTGCTGTTGCTTTAGCTTGAACCCTTAAGCCTTTTTCAGCCTTATGATAAGTATCCTAGACTTTATATACTTCCTCCCCTCCCCTTTGGTACAAGCCTAAGTATTAACTTCCAGTTGTCCCCTCTATGCGTTTGGGGTGGTGTGCCCATTCTTTTTCATTCCATATTCTTAAACATATTTTCCACTCCTACGTGAGCATTTTGGATGCTGGTCAGCTAGTGGGTTTTCTAGGATGTAGGGAAGCCTAGATGACCTTACCGGGTGCAATACTAGCTAAGATAAAGCTAGAAACCTACACTGTCACTTTACTGAGATTTCCGAGTATACTTTTCATATTGCCTTAATGTAGCAGTAACGTGTTTATGCATTTGTTTCTTTGCACAGACATTTTGTCAAATATTAAAACTCTACTTTTTTATGGCACATATTAGCATATAAGCCTTTATTCCAAGAGGTATTTATTTTTTCACTTGTAAAAAAAATAATGTTTCCACATAAAAAGAACTCTGTTATATCCTAGAGGACTTCTGTCTTTTATATTCAGGATAATAAAGATTTTAAAGCAAGCATGGTGTTTGTATCGTCACGGTTATTGTCACATAAGCCCGTTTTATTCGCTTAAGAATAAAATGGTTGATAATGTCATGACTGGTATCTAATTATATCTGACACACAAAATTTGTTTAAATCTTTATGGAATCTGGCTCTAATTGAGTAGAACATTTCACCCTGTTAGCACCCATCTGTGTTTCTGGTTCTAAGATTGGATGGTAGGTATAAATGGGGTAGAATGAAACATAAATATTGAGAAGAGCACTGGAATAGACTGGAGAAGAAGGGAAAGTTAAAAATTTAAAAACACACAGCCAGGGCTGCTAGCGCTTTAACTAGTTGGGGCAGGCAAGAGTCTTGATCCTCATGGTTGCAATTTTCAGCTACAGACTAGGTCACTATTAACTAGCTGCCGGCTGCGAAGACCTCACTGCCTGAAGCAAACCACTGTGAGCTAATGTGTGTCACAAAGGAAATGCTTTGTGGTGTGGTGAACACTGCACATAATATATGTAACTGATCATTATGTGTAGCAGTTAGAGGAAGTAGATAGTCTGTAAAAGGGGGAGGAGAAGAGAATTGGGGAGAGTTTATTTTCTACTGTATGTACCTGACTGAACAGTCAATTTTTTACCAATTTCCAAGAATTAACTCATTTTTTCAGTTGGCACACTTACTAAGCACTTTCTAGGTAAACTGGGATTATAACTGACTTGACTAAACCATGAGTGGTCCAGATTAGCTGTATAATGTGCTTGGCATTTATAATGTATACCCTATTGTCTCTCTGGAGTTAATACTAATATTCAAAGATCATAGAATATTCAGACTGGAGAGACACAGTAGCCTTAAGTTGCTATCTGATGAATGGATAGCTGGATGGTTGGATGGATGGGTGAATGGATGGAAGTCAAGTCAACTGATGGATAAGAAGCAAGCATATCATTAACCAGATTATACCACAGACTCACTAAGTCCAGTTACTAACATGAAACAACTATATATAGAGAATGGGTTAACGCTTTAATAGAACTCTAAGAAGATGCATGTCTTTACATATATAGTCACAGTTGGACCTCCATATCCATGGGTTCTGAATCTGCAGATGCAACCAACCATTGGTTGAAAACACTGAGGGGAAAAAAAACCCACACAATTAATTGGCCAAAGCAATCCCTCAAAAGCCAAAAGAAGTATGAGCACAACTGAAATTAATTTTCATTTTTAATGTTAATCCTATTTACTTTTTTTATTATTATTTTTAATTTTTGGAGCTCTAGTGGCCTAGTGGCAAGAAGCTGTTTTACAGTTTTGAAGGCGTACAGTTTGAATCCACAAGCTGCTCCAATGGGAGAATGACGGGCAGTCTCCTCCCAGGCAATTAGCTGCCTCTGAAAACTCACCAGAAGGTCAGCTGTAGGTTGATTCTGGCTTGACAGTACACAACAACAAATATGTACTATTCTTACTGAAAGTCGTAATATCTTTTCACAGAAATCCTAAATGATAGCAAATCACTTTTATCCATATTTGCAAAATCTGCTTGACAGATGTTGGGGGAGGGAAAATAAAGCTATTAAAGAGGTAGCCCTATTCTTGTTCTAGACAAAAGTATTTCAGAACCACATAAATTGTGCAGCTTTAACACAACCACCAGTCTTTTTTTGAAAAGTGGAAAAATGAGCATCAGGCAGTGGCCAAACGTCTGTTTCTCATAAAACTTGAGATAGTGCCAAAGAAGAAAAGAGCCAAAAGTGTAAGCATTTCTATCAAGGACTGTTCTGAGAAGAAAATACCTATGTGATTTGTGAAGTAAAAAAACCCTGCAAACCTCTAAAACCATATTATACATGTATCCTTGTCGTTTTATAAAAACTGCATAAATATTTATATTTAGAGAATGAGAAGATCGTTTTGGGTGAATTGAAGACTAAGTCTTGAAGTAAAAGCAGAATTTGCAGTGATGGGAAGAAAAACTAATAAAGTGTGGAAGAGCCTTGGGAGAGGAGAAAGAGGGTGAGAGAACATGGGAGGAGAGTGGAGCCAGAGTGCAACATTTGGAGACGTAGCTGCTGGAGCAAAAATTTGATGAGTGTGCAAAAGCCACTAGAAAACAAAACCTATTGCCATTGAGTCAAGTCTGACTCATAGCAACCTTCCATCAAGCTAATAAGGCCGTGAATCTGTGCAACTTGTTGTTAGTGTATGACTTATAGAGACTCTGTGAACAACAGACCTGAACCCTGTCCTCTCCCGTTTCTTCCCTGTTATCTCTGACACACTTGAGCCCACTGTTGCAGTCATTGTGTCAGGACTGCCCACCTCTCTCTCACAGAGTGGCTGGTGGACTTGAACTGCCAACCTTTCAGTTAATAACCAGACATGTTGCTACACCACCGGGGTCCTTGTACAAGACACAGTAAGATCTTCATTCATTGATTTAGTAATCCTCCACTCACTAGTTTATGCATTGATTTTTTTTTTTAATTCAGTGGATATTCAACAGCTCCACTTCCTAAACAACATGCCTCTGGAAACTCTATGAACTGATAAATGTCAATAGTTATAGAAAGGCTTCAGGTGTTTTGTTCATTGGGTCACTATGAGTCATGCTTGACTTGACAGCAATCAACAACCACAACAATTGTGAACAGAGTCACAATATGTATGAGTGTGTGTGCTTCTGAGTACATATTTATGCTTACATATTGTGACTCTTTAGCAATAGATCAGAGAGCCTGACCCTCAAGCTCATTGTTGCAGTTACCGTGTAAACTCCTTCTTGTTCCTAGACCTTCCTCTCTTTGCCTAACCCTCTTCCATTCCCAGAATTGGGCATTTCACCATCCTTGTCTCTAAAGAGATTCTAGTTGCATTTCCTTTAAGATAGATGGGTTTGTCCTTCTTACAGTCCATAATATAGTTAATATTCTTTGCCAACACCACAATTCAAAGTATCCTTGATTTCTACCAACCAGATACCCTACATCTTCAGATGCTTTTAAATAGAGGCAAAAAATGCTCCAGTCAAAAACCACTGCTCTAGCCCTAACAGAAAGGTTTGTAGCTTTTGTGACCCAGGGTTGGGGACCTGCTTAGTGAAGATCACAGATACTGCTAAACATTCTCCATTCCACAGAACATTCCCCTCAACAAAGATGTTTCATGCCCTAAACATTAACATTGCTACTTTTGAGAAACTCTTGGCTAGAGGGTACAGATGTCTGAGAGGAAGTCAGACTCTTGATTCTGAGATGAAGTCAGTCTGACCACTCTGGACTTCAAGTAGGATTTGAGACTGTAACTAATCATTCCAATCTAAGATTCCACAATAGATGCAGGGACTAGGCCTATGAAAGAATAGAGTATCTCATTGACTTCACTTGATGTTGGCACGATTTCTGGAAGAAAGTCACATTGGAGATGAATTTTGAAGATGAGTAAGAATTGCTAGAGAGAGTGTAGTGGAGGGGGCTTGTTAAAAAATGTATTTGGAAATTAGTGGACACTTTGGGAAAACTATAATATATAGTAGCTGGGTGAGTAGACTGTGGTTAGGATGGTGGGGGAATGGCTAAGGGTTAGTGGGCCCATAAGGAGTAGGATGCTAGAGGTCTTTCCAAGCCATTCCCCTACCTGGTAATAAGATCAGTGTCAAAAAAACATCATGAAAGAGAGTAAGAAGTAAGCAGGTTCCACA